ATATATATATATATATATATATATATATATATATATATATACGCTACATACATCCGTGCAAGCAGAAAGCAGGTAAGCCGTTTCAATATGCTTGCCACCGTATTTCGTCGCTCGGCCCAGGAGGCGTCCGCCGCCCCCGGGTTGCACGCCATCGCCCCTGTCGCCGCCATTGAGCGGGCAGCGCCGTACACGCGCTTCAACACACTTCGACTTCACGCTCATCACGAACCCAACTTCCGCGCGCAGCCGGCCGGCTGGCGCGGGTGGACAGACCCGAAACTGCAGGACCCGTATGCGCCCTTCATGCTGCAGTCGCCGGTCCGCCACGTGGACCGGCAGTGCGCGGGGATGTGGTTTGGCATGGGTCACTTTGCGCTAAAGAACTTCTTTGGCATCTGTCACTGGCGCTTTGCCCTGCGGATAGCCTTCTGGGGCGTGGGCGGGTGGGCCTTCTCTCTCGGCACGTACGCGCTTCGCATGCACCGCAACGGATGGCAGTGGAAGAACCGCGGTGCCGTCTTTGCCATGGATTAATTTTGCTAGCAGCTGGGTGCGGACTGGTAGGGAGAAGAAGGGGGTGAAAGGAAGTAGCAGTAGCAGTAGCAGTTCAAAGCGGAGAATGAAAAAAAAAAAGAGGGAAGAAAAAAAAACTGAAAAGGGGTAGGAAAATTTATATATATTGTTTTTGTTTGAGTTTGAGTAGAAGAACGGAATGAGGAGGATAAGTGTACATCTGTATCCCTCTCCCACTCTCTCTCTCTCTGTGGGCGGGTGTACGCGATTCTCTTCTCCGGGATGAGTAGTGGAAATGAGGGAGGCCGAAAAGGGATCCAACGAAGAGGGAAAGAAGCGGAAGCGGACTTCTTTTTTTTTTTTTTGTGTGTGTATGTGGTTGCAGGTACGTATTTTGATGTATGTGTTTGTTTGTTGCTGGAAGGGGAGGAGGGGAAGGGAGCTTGTAGTGTCTTGTGTCGTCTGGGCAACCAAAGAGAGGGAGAAGGCGTCCCCCCCCCTCCCCTACACACACACACACACACAGCGAGAGAGGGAGAGGCACCAATCCACAGACAAGCACACACATGATCGTTGGACTGACGCAGCTACTTGACCATCCTTCATTTTTTGTGTTTGTGTGTGCATATATATATATATATATATATATGTAGCTGTTGTTTACTTTGCGTGGATATCCATGAATGGATGCGTATATGCAGCGTGTTTTTCTTTTTGTTGTCTTTTTTGCCTTCATGTTTCGGGTGCGCTTATGAAATGAGAGCGCCGAGTACCTTGCAAGCGTGTTCACACGCTATCATAATTTATTTTTGAACACAGATAGATTGGTATAGCGGCCGGGGGAGATTGCACATTTATTGTACACAAACGTTACAAGGGGCAACCGGCATCATCACAGAGATTAGTCAAGTAAGAGAGGTATCGAAGGAGGAGGCTTATTTATAGTGCAAATGCGGCGCTCCATACGGGTTTTGCGTCACAGGCAGCTGAATAGCCCCGCCACCCCCGTGCGCCTTCTACGATTCTCGGTGTTCGTGTCATCCTGTCCAAGGCAGCAGCAGCATGCCCGTCGTTTCATGAGTGACAGCGGCCCAAATGGCGATGACGGTGGGAGGGTGAAGGACGACGGGGTGGGTGTTTCCGGTGGAATGGCGTTGCCTCGCAGTGCGCTGCCGCCGTCCGACTTCCCCGAGCATAGTTTTCTCAAGTGCATTGAGAAGGAGATGCAGGATGAGGCACTGCGGGTCGACAAGGAGGAGGGGCCGCCGCCGCCGCCGTCCGGGTGGGAAATGTACCACGCACCAGGGACCAGCGTTTTCTACGGCCGCCGCTGGTGGGTGCCGCCAACGCCTGTCACCCCTACGGAGCCGCGTGCGATGGAGCGGCACACAATCCGTGTGCAGCTCACTACGCGGGATCCCTCGCTTGACCCGGAGTGCGACGTGCGGGGTGAACACTTTCCCTTCTCCCTCTTTGTGCAACGCGTCGTTGGAGGTGCCGGGGCGTCAGATGTCGTCGTCCATGGAACTTCCTCCTTCCAGACCAACACCGTCGAGGGAGAAGCGGAGGAGCGCGGCCTGTACGAGCAGAGTATCGAGGTGCGAGCCGACTTTGTGGAGGGGGAGTTAGTTGTCGACCACGTCGTCTTTCACGGTACATACACGCCTGCCCCATGTGCTCAGTCTCCGTTGCCTCCTCACGGCAAGGAGGCACAGTCCCATGACGTGGGCGGTAACGCCGCCTCTCCTGCCCCGACAGACACCGAGGTGCACTACAACAATATCTTCGGCGGTTACCCTGGGCCGAACCTAGACGAGGTGGAGGAGGAGGTGCTTGACGGGATACAGGCGTGGCTCGCGGAGCGCTGCATCGACGACCAGTTTGGCGAGTTTGTGGGTCAGTACTCAGTGTGGGTGGAACAGATGGAGTACGAGCGGTGGCTGCGGCAGCTACGTGATTTTGTGGCGGCATAAACGAAGAGATAGCGAGGAGAATGGCAGTGCAGCGAAGGAGGGATGAAGGTCACGCCGGTGCAGTGGAAGACCATGTCAGCGTGTGCTCTTCTGCTGCCGTTTTTAGCGGTTAAAAAGAGAGAAAAGGAGATATCATACATACATATGTACATACATACATATATGCCTCTGCTACGCCAGAGGGCGGCAGTGTGGGGTGCTGTGCAATTGACTCGTTTCTTCCTCTTTCTCTCTCGTTTTTTCTCTCTTTCTTTGAGCATGCGCGTGTGAATGCCAACAGCTAGCCACTGAAAGGCGGGGGAGAAGAGAACGTTGTGGGCTGAGAGACTCTGACATCGTCAGGGGTAAAGCGACCGAAGGAGAGCCAATCGCACACATTCATCCATTCATCCTCAAAGGCGGGCGCGCCCTCCAATGCCGTCGCAGAAGAAAAACACCGCGGTACCACCCCCACCCAGGCCCGACCCTGTGACGCTCGACCACATCTACGATCGCCTGACGCGGCCAGATGTGGCTATGGAGGAGCGGGCGTATTACCTGGTTGCTCTCAGCACTGTCGCCTTCCACCCGAGTGTGAAGCTGTTTTTCTTTGAGCACACGCCAGTGCATCCAACCGCGTCGCTTGGCGCTGGTGGCAGCGCGGAGGATCGCGGTGGCCCAGGCACTGCAGAGTCTGTTTTAGTGGCGGAGGCAAACACCCGCCGTCGCGAGGCAGTGCTGAAGGGCATCGCCTTTTTCCTCGCCCAGCGCAACAGTGCGGTGGTGCAGGAGTGTCGCTGGGAGACGGTCGCGCTGCTCGGGGAGCTGTGCCGCCTTGAAAGTCTCACGCCACTTCGTCCTGGTGGCCACGCCAAGAACGCCCTGGGCGCCGCGCTTGTGCCTTCCCCGCAGCAGGATGTGGTGCAAAAGATCAACCACTACGCACGGGCAAACCTTGAGTTTCTTGCACGGCTGCCATGGTTTGTCCCGGCTGTGCAGGAGCTCATTGGGGCGGAGACGGTCGAGGAAGGCACCACCACATCGCTCTCCCCCTCCACTGCCGCATCGTCGTCAACGGGTGGCACGGCTTCTGTGGCTCTTCGACGCACTGCGCGGCGGCAGAATGCGGGCAACACCACCGGCGGCGAAGCTACGGGTGTCCGTGAAATGGACGAGGACGTGTGCATTGCGCTGAAAGACATTTTAGCGGCTCTCCCAGAAGTTCGGCGTGGGGAGGGGGCGGAGGCTGCCGTTGTGTGGTCCGCTGCATGCGTGGATCAGGCGCACGACTTGATGTTCCTTGACGCCTCCACGACTATGCTGCACCTTATCCCGCTTGTCGCCCGCAGCAGTCATCGGCAGTGTGCACACTGCGAACAACGCGTCAACGCTGCTGCTGGCGGCGACGATCACAACGGTGCCGGCGCGCTGCTGCGCTGTGGTAGTTGCAGGGCGGTGTACTACTGCGATACTACGTGTCAGCGGGCCCACTGGGCCGCCGCCCACCGTGTGCCGTGCCGGAGCTACAGGCAGCAGGCGGAGGACATCATGGCGCAGTACGTGGCAATGAACAAGAAGTCGCTCGGCGGTAGCAGGAAAAAGGCGCAGCAGGACACGGTGGCGGTGCTGGAGGTGCCGCTTGAGCCCTCCCTCTTTTACGAGACACGTCGGTACTTGTACGACCACCGCGACTCATCATTTGCGGAGGTGCCATTTATGGACTACTTCATGAAGTACACGGTCCGCGGGAGTTAGCACGAGCGCGGGCGAGAGAGAGAGAGAGAGAGAGATAAGCGCAGGAAGAGAAAGAAGGCAAACAAAAAAGCTACATTAAAGTATGAAGGTGGGCGCACACAAGTGTGCGGATTTCAGCCGCCCCAAAGCGAAACACGTTGGGGCATAAGCGGGTAAAAAAGAGAAGGCGAGAGGAGAGTCGAGTCAAGTAAGAAACGAAATGACGTGAGATTGCCGCGCGTGGGCGGAGTACCGCCGGGGAGGCGCCTACATCCGCGGTTGTATGTGTGTATGTAATGTATACGTGTAATTCGATAAATATGGGGCCGTCTGCTGGAGACGGCTGCTTTCACTTTATTTCTTTCTTTTTCTCTCCTCCTCACTTTCTCGTTGTGGGTGCGGGTGGGGGGAGGGGTGGGAGGTTCTGTAGTTGTTGGGCGCAGAGAACGTGCCCGACTGTACGCGTGTGCTAAGGTGGCAGGCAACTCACGCAAAGGAAGAGTAAGAAGTAGAAAAAAAAAAGGAGGGGGTAGAGTGGGTAGAAAAATGGATAAACTGACGAGCGTTGTGAGTGTTGTGTCCAACAGCGGGGTGACCTCCGCGTTGGGGGGTGGGGGCGTTATTGAGGCGGAGGAATCAGAGTCGCTGTGTCCTTCCCTCTCCTGGAAGCATCGGTTGATTGGCTGCGGCTGCTGTGTCGGTCTGGGCATGTTCTTCTCTCTGCTCAGCTTTATTGCCATTCTTCAGATGGACCTTGTCCTCTTTAGTGTCCTCTTCTCCTTCGGCAACGTCGTCTCGATTGCGGGGCTGCTGTTTCTCGCTGGCCCCATGGCACAGCTGCAGCGCATGTTTGACGAGAAGCGCTGGATCGCGACGACAGTGTACCTCGTCTCCATCGTCCTCACCATCCTCTGCGCGCTGCTGCTACACAATGCCCTGCTGGTGCTGGTGTGCTGCCTGGTGCAGACTGGGGCAATGATTTGGTACGTCTTGTCGTACATTCCCTTTGCTAGGGATGCAGTTAAGTCGTGCTTTGGCCGCATCATGCGGTAGAAGTGTCGGCGTACGGATTTCTTTTAGAGCATATATATATATATATATATATATATATATATATATATATATAGAGCGTCGTGTGTGTAGTAGAGAGAGAAG